GGTTCAGGCAATTCTCCTGCCTCAGCCTCCTGAGTAGCTGGGACTACAGGCACGCGCCACCATGCCCAGCTAATTTTTTGTATTTTTAGTAGAGACGGGGTTTCACCATGTTGACCGAGATGGTCTCGATCTCTTGACCTCGTGATCCACCCGCCTCGGCCTCCCAAAGTGCTGGGATTACAGGCGTGAGCCACCGTGCCCGGCCAATTTCTTTCTCTTTTTTTGAGATGGAGTCTGGCTCTGTCACCCAGGCTGGAGTGTAGTGGTGCAATCTTGGCTCACTGCAACCACCATCTCCTGGATTCAAGTGATTCTCCTGCCTTAGCCTTCCAAGTAGCTAGGATTTTAGGCATGCACTACTATGTCCAACTAATGTTTTTGTATTTTTCATAGAGATGGCATTTCACCATGTTGGCCAGGCCAGTCTCAAACTCTTGATTCCAAATGATCCACTCACTTGGCCTCACAAAGTGCTGGGATTACAGATATGAGCCACTGCACCCGGCCAATTTCTTTTTAATTGTTACTTAACCTAACCCTCTTAGATGTAGAGGTCACTCACCAGCCTGTCCTCTGACTCAAACATGGAGTAATCAATGGTGAAATCTGCACCAAAGTCATCTGCAGAGGAGAAAGAAAATCAGCAGTCATAAAAGAAAAAGGTAACTCTAGATCTGGAAAAGAAAAGGGAATAAGGCCGGGCGCGGTGGCTCACACCTATAATCCCAGCACTTTGGGAGGCCGAGGCGGGTGGATCACGAGGTCAAGAGATCGAGACCATCCTGGTCAACAAGGTGAAATCCCGTCTCTACTAAAAATACAAAAATTAGCTGGGTGTGGCAGTGCAGGCCTGTAGTCCCAGCTACTCGGGAGGCTGAGGCAGGAGGAGGCGGAGGTTGCGGTGAGCCAAGATCGAGCCATTGCACACCAGCCTGGGTAACGGGTGAAACTCACTCTCAAAAAAAAAAAAAAAAAAAGAAAAGGGAAGAAATTGCTCAGAATAGTTTAACTTACTCAAGTTGTAAAACTGATTGGTATAATCCAATTTTATTTAGCTGTAATGTTAAAGACAGTTGTGAATATGTATGCATTTATATTTTGAATCTAAGTATATCTAAAATAACTTAAAATTTGAAAATTTTTCAGACCCCTGAGAATCAAGGTCTCACTCTATTACCAGTACAGTTGGTTCAATCATAGCTCACTGCCACCTCCAACTCCTAAGCTCAAGTGATCCTCCTGCCTCAGCCTCTTGGGACTACATCCATGGGCCACCATGCTCAGCTAATTAATTTTTTTTTTTTTTTTCTGTAAAGACAGGGTATGATATCTCTACTTGATACCCAGGCTAGTCTTGAACTCCTAGGCTCAAGCAATCCTCCTATCTAAAAATCACTATCTGGATAAATAACAAAATGAGTCCTTTTTTTTTCTTTTTTAGATGGAGTCTCACTCTGTCGCCCAGGGTGGAGTGCACTGGCGTGATCTTGGCTCACCACAACTTTCTCCTCCCCAGTTCAGGTAATTCTCCCACCTCAGCCTCCTGAATAGCTGGGACTACAGGCAGGCACCACCACGCCCAGCTAATTTTTGTATCTTTAGTAGATACAAAAATTGTGTCTACTAAATGTTGGCCAGGCAGGTCTCAAACCTCAGGTGATCCACCTGCCTCAGCCTCTCAAATGCTGGGATTACAGGTGTGAGTCACCGTGCCCAGGCCATCGTGAATTTTCATAGGTTTTGTTCATAGCCAGATTTCTCTCTGACCCCGTAGCTCTGCTGCAAAGTGAAGAGCAGTCTCAGAACTAAATATTCTGAAGCCTTTCTCTAGTCAGCTAAGGGGAAGCGTCTTTCATGGACTCACCATAAATGGGGGTGACTGTAAAATAATAGGCCACCTGATAATATTCATCCTCTTCCAGTCTTTCTTCATCCTCATATTCTTGTCCTATGGGGACAAGGACTACAGGTCAAGGGACATCTGGAACACCTTACCCACAGAAGGACACCTGGAGTTGACCTCAGTTCTCCCAGCTTTCTTGCTTTCTTTCTGCCTCCCCTCCAGTGGTCAGACTCCCTGCCTGCCTGTGCACCTCTGCGCCCCTCTCAGTCTTCTGGGCTCCATATCTGTAATGAGGCCTGTTACTCTATGCCCTTTCAATCCAGAAACTCCTAAAACAGAAAACAGTCCCCTTCACACACTATACACCCAAAGGGAGAACCAAACCTAAAGAAGGTGGGAAGAGTAGAGACCAGGAATCAGACACACCAAATCTTCTATTTAATATGCTCCAGATCTTATTGTATTTGTGAGAGGTCGTTTCTTAACGGTGTCTCTTGCAAATAACTAACACACACCCTTAGGCTTTGGATTTGAGATTTGGTTCCAGCAACACTGCTAACAGAATAACCCTGAACAATCTACTTAACATCCGCTTTCTTAAAATGAGTCAGCTGGACTAAATGACCCATCTCCGTTAGTTTTTCTTCCCTTCCAGAACTAAAAATATGTGGCTTTGATATGACTGGATCAAGAACTCCAGGCCTCCTGCTAAACACTTCCCTGAGCTCCCTGAATGCTTTCCCTTCAACTCCAAGCTAATGACACAGGAATCTAGAGGAAAAGGAAACAGTGAGACACACCTGGCAGACAGGGAACAAAGGAGGGAAGGAGCCAAGCTACTCTTGGGACCCTGTCCCTGAAGACAGCCAGTTTTCCACTCTCCTAAAGGTCACCCACTTGTGTGTCTTTACTAACAGCAGGTTTTTTCTACAATTCTCTCGGAAAGGAGGTTCCCTAGCTATTAGTTTCAGACTGTGACACCTTCTAGGAATCTCTCCTTCACCCTTGCTTTAGCCCCTCTCATCTTGTTCAACTTCCGTGGTGATGGAGAACTGAGTTCAGTGTTGCTAGGGCCTGCTTGTGTCTGGAGCTCCATCCTCCTTCTGTGATGGGACTCTGCTCTCCTTCCCCTTTCCTGGCTCTGCCTTCCAGATCTCCATTCTGCCCTCCACACCGGACCTTAGCACAATGAGAAAACTCTATCACTCCCCATTGAAATGCATCTCTCACCCACAGCTCATTTTTTTTTTTTCTCCCACCCCATTTATGGTAGAGGATCTGGCACAAAAGCTCAGAGAGAGAAGTGGACTTACCCAGGATAAGTGGCACAGCAAGGATGGCTACAAAGAGGACATCCATTCTGGATTCTGAACTATTGCTGTGAAAGTAAAAAAGGAAATTACAGAGTTTCCCACCAAACTTACCCCGCCTCCCCCCTCCTCCTCCAAGGCTGAAGCGACTCTTCTCCTCCCAGGGGGCAGAACTCCCCGCCTACTGGCTGGCTGACTGCATCTCCAGTTACTGCTGGTCCCCAGCCAGAGCGCCCAGATTGACAGGCAAAAGTGGGTTTTGATGCAAACATGTTTATGGAGCTCCCCCTGCCCTAGATTAGATCCACTCAGGACTCCCACTGCCACTACTAAGAAAAATAAAAAACAAGCCTACCGAGGAGTTTCCCCTCTCCCCCTTTTCCTTCCTTCCTCCAAGGCCTCATAAAAAGCTCACCCTCCCTCTCACTGTCCCTGACTTACCACCACTACCTAGAGTTGCCTTTCTCTCTGAGGCGTCCTCACAGTCTCTTTTCATGACAGTGGAAATGTTCTGAGGAAGGGGTGAGCATTTTTCTAGACTGGAAAGAGTCCGTTTCTTCTGTCTGTTTCGAGCTATGGAGTACAGGAACAATATTTACCCATCATTGTCTGACTTAAAGCACCTGCTGCGTGGCTGCAGATAAAAGTCTCTCAGCCACGGTCAGTTATTTCCTCTCTGGTAATACTGACCTCACCTCACCTCTTTCTCAACTTCCAGGATGCAGGATGGAAGAAGGGAGAAAGCAGATAGTCTCTTTCCCTGCTACAATTGCCACACCCTCCTTCCCACATTCTGTCACTTGGTGTATTCCTTTCATTCCGTCCTACAGGAGAAGAGTTTGTTTGTTTTGTTTTTACCAGAAAATAAACACCAACTTTATTAATATAATAGCAACAGAAAGGGTTTCCAATTTCTCAGAAGGAAAATAACATAACACCAGCACAAGTGTTTAAAGAGTAAATGCCGGGCCAGGCATGGTGGCTCACACCTGTAATCCAAGCGCTTTGGAGGCCAAGGCGGGCGGATCACCTGAGGTCGGGAGTTTAAGAGCAGCCTGACCAACATGGTGAAATCCCATCTTTTCAAAATAAAAAAAAGAGGAAGTGCCTACATTTCTTGTGCTGGTAGCTTCCCACCACGCACCGAAGGTTCCTCAAGGACAGCTGCCACCAGAGCTGCTGCAAGAACATGTTTTTCACTGGGCGTAGCTTCACAGTCAACTCCTCAAGCAGAAGACTAAAATATTATTTCTTTTTAGAAGATCTTGGTTGCGGGAGAACATATCAATATGGAGAAAAGATCTTTGCTTCTAACATTCAAGAAACACCATTAACGAATCTATCAATGTTTCTCCCATACAGTGTGCTAGGGTGCCCTGTGCAGAATCCTTTTCCATCCACGCCACATGTCTGGGTGAGAGGAGAGTGGCAAGCTGCCAGTACACTAGCAGGCACTCCCGGTGATGCTCTGGGCTCTGCTCCCTTGCTGCTGGTAGTAGTAGGGATCTTTTCTGGCAGCTGCAGCAGCTTGATGTGTGGGGAAGAAAGGGGCCACCCCCCAGTCACCTTTTCTCGAAGCCATATTTTTTGCGTTCATAGAAGAGATCTGTCTTAGAGCTCCCCAAATTAACAATCTTTGGGCAGCCATCCCTATCCTTCTCCTGGATGGTACACTCCTTACAATAATAGGTATCAGAGACCCCAGGGCCTCCACAGATCACACAGCGTCCCTGGTAAGATCCATAGTTACACTCATCACATGCGCATCAGAGTGCAGGGACACACAGGGGAGTCACAAATCACACACTTGCCATCACATTTTTCACACAGTCTTCCGATGGCAACACCAGCCTGCTTGTGGCAAAAGATCAAATCAGGATGATGTTTAGCCATAGTTCCCAAGGAAACCCAGGAGTAGAGTATTTATCCTTTTCTCTGCTTTTATGCTTCCCATTTTCATTCAATTCAGAAACAGCAACATATGTGCTAGGCACAGTGTGCTTGGCCTAGTCTGACAGGCAATACAGAGCTTACAGGCAAGGGAATAAGAAGACAGTTTTGTTTTGTTTTTAAGAGAAGTTAATAAGTATCTGCTCAACATTTATTATGAGTCAGGCACTATGCAAGTGCCCATGAACAAGATAGGTTTAGAGGCTGCTCTCAATGGTCAGAAGATGCTGCGGTGACAGCTCAATGAAGAGATGAGGCCGGGTGCGGTGGCTCATGCCTGTAATCCCAGCACTTTGGGAGGCCAAGGCAGGCGGATCACCTGAGGTCAGGAGTTTGAGACCAGCCTGGCCAACATGGTGAAACCTCATCTCTACGAAAAATACAAAAAATACCCGGGTGTGGTGGCAGGCACCTGTAATCTCAGCTACTAGAGAGGCTGAGGCAGGAGAATCACTTGAACCTGGGAGGTGGAGGTTGTAGTGATCTGAGATTGTACCACTGCACTCCACCCTGGGTGACAGAGTGAGACTTCCATCTCAAAAAAAAAAACCATGAGGCCGGGCGCGGTGGCTCAAGCCTGTAATCCCAGCACTTTGGGAGGCCGAGGTGGGTGGATCACAAGGTCAAGAGATCGAGACCATCCTGGTCAACATGGTGAAACCCCGTCTCTA